TCCGCCCCCCCCCCCCCCCCCGCCCGCTTTTCACAACGGATCGACGCCCATGGCTTCACTGCCGTGCTGCACCTCTTTTTAAGGTGTGAGTTGCAGTCACCGATGTTGTGTGCTCCTCTGATTAGTGTGTTGCAAACTGCCTTTATTCTGCCTGGTAACCAAAACATCAAGAAAGGGTCAGACTGGTAAGTGGCAGAGTTGCGGATCAGTGGCGGATCCAGAAATTCAAAATAGATGGGGGACCGAGGAGGTTCGTATTTTCAGATGGAGGATCTATATCACCTCAGGCCCACTATGGTTGGGGGTGAGGCAAGAAAACTTGTTATTACCTGTAGATGACCGGAAATTGTACTCTCAGACTTAAAACTTGAATAAAAAAATGTTTATATCTCCATTTTTTAAAATTATGAACGATTTAAAAAGGGGGGGGGCACCCTTGAATTCGCCACTGCGGAACATGTCGGCAGGACCTGGGAATAAAGTTGACCTCATGTCTATACCAAGCCCATACGGAGGGTGATGCAACCGATGCGCACGCAGATTTAGACCTTCACACCGTCGGCCATGGCTGGCGAGGTTCAGCCTCCCTCCCACCAAAAAATTGTTCAAAATTAAAATCATTTCAAAATTGGAGAAAAAATTAATTCAAAATTTAAGTCTGAGAAAAAAAGAAAGTCCATTTCCCGCCATCTAGAGGTGCCATAACCATAACTTTCTTGCCTCAACCATGGTATTCGAGGTGTTATAGACCTGTTCTGACGCTTATTTGTTCCCTTTTCCAAAGAACGATCATCAAATACGACAAACTCGACCCACCCATTCCTAGCTTGGCTTTAAATGAATTTAGTAATTCTATTTCTAATAGATGCAAATAATTGTTTTTTCCATAGATTAACTGTCAGGTTAAGATCTTATTCATTGCCATTGGTATCCATGTATTCCAGTGCTATCCTGTTTCATGAATTTTACTTTATTGTGCAAAATTTTATTTATTTATTTTTATTGGCATTTTTTTTACTTCAAGTTTGACGGATCTGTGTGTCCCAATGTCTAAGAGTGCCATTTCCGGCCATCTAGAGGCGCCATAATCATAAATTTCCTTGCCATAAAATATCCGCTGGCATATGGATAGTGGGGTCATTCTCCAGATGATCATCAGAGCAATCTCGCCGAAACTTCGAGACAATCAGCCCATGGTTTTACCAGAAAAACCATTATTACACATGGTACAGTGAGTCTAATTATTTTGCAATTAATACTCGCCATGGCAAGAAAAATTGTGAAATATAAAGTAACTATTTGTCATTTGAATTCTAACCTTTCCGATTAACTCACCCTCAAATATTTCTTAAAGTACACATTACTTTATTTTTGAACCAATAAAATATAAAGATTATTATAATAATAAAGGAAATAGATAGGACTCTGTATTTTGCCTCAGTTTTTGCATCTAGCATAAAAAAAGCATAAAAATTGAAAATTCTACAATATCTCTAAATTAACCTAGACATGATTGATATCTGTCATGATTAAAAATCAATTATAACACGTCAAATGAATTATAAATTTCAACTTAACCTATATTGTTAACCATCTACTTTAAATTACAGCAAAGGAAGCTGTTGAATTTACCGTCTGTCTTACTTGAGATGTGGAAAGGTAACGATCAATACCCTAAAATTTAAAAAGTCGCCGTATCACAATCCATGGCATGGTATTAATGCACTCTTTACTATTTTTTAAATTTTTGATGGACTACTTTTTTTTAGGATGAATTCGAATTTTTGCTCCTTCTCTCTAAAATAGACTGTTTAAATAATCAAATGTACACAACAAATGTGTGTGTGTATATATACATATAGTGGTCACTTATCCTACGTCCGCATTGAGTGTTTTTTTTTTCTCGCTATATTTTCTATCTATACGCCTACCACCTGATGAAGGGGATGCCCGAAAACGTTTGTGTTTTTACCATTAAAAGTTACGGCTAGTCTACACTTTTGCTTTATGCGTTTTATTACTATTTTATTGAAGCCGATGCAGCCACCTACTCGTTTGATTTTATATATATCGTCCCTTATATAATGTAGTGGCGAATGTGGAAAAGTGCATTTAGAGAAAAACGAATTTAAAGATTTTTTAAAATAGTAATTTCTATTAGCATACCTTCTTTTTATGAAATTGCCTAAATTTATCTATGATTAGTACATTGCCTCCTAATACTGTGTATAAAATATATGAGCATAATAACGATTCATCATTAAACTTATTCGTCACTTTGTAAAAAAATAGTTAACATATAAATTGCAGTAATTTAACATTCGCCACACATTCGACACTCGGAGAGAAAAAAAATCGAACCAACTAACATTCGCCACTGGAAATTCAAGAAAGTAGGCAGGATTTTTGATGTGAAGCGTTGGGTGCGTATTAGCGAGCAAAGCAAGAACCTTAGGCCAAGGGAACCTGCACCCCCAAGGGATCTTGGGATTCCTGGGGTGCAGGGGCAGAACTCCGGTGGGGGTGTGAGGGAAAAGCTCTCCGAAGCGCCGATAAATTTTCATTTTGAGTATATTTCCTGTCGATATAAATCAAAACGGTATTAGGTGTGGTCCAGGGGTTGCGCCAGCGGGGGCAGGGGGAAGGGTCCCCCGTAGGGGAGAGCTACCGGTGGGGGTGTGAGGGAAAAGCTCTCCGAAGCGCCGATAAATTTTCATTTTGAGTATATTTCCTGTCGATATAAATCAAAACGGTACTAGGTGTGGTCCAGGGGTTGCGCCAGCCGGGGGAAGGGAGAGCTACCCCTCCCCCACCCCGTCGGGGAGAAAAACCACACTTCGTCGGAGAGAAAATAAATATAGGCATATGTATTTTCTATTTTCTTTATTTTCCCCTGGACCACTTTAGAAACATTTTAAGCGACGTCCGGCCTCGCCCACTTTGCTCTCGTCTGAAAAATCGTGCCCCTCGTCGGGTCATCGC